TTCAGCATGCATAACAAGTGCTGCTTCATATGGATCATCTGGTAATAGATCACGTTGTTTCTAAAATAATTTCAAATATAATTTCAAATATAAAATAAGATTTCATTTTTCTTCTTTCATTGAATAAATTACTTGAAGATAGTCACGAATATTTTTATAAGCTTTTCTTGGCACTGGTATCATAATTGGTACAAAAACAGGCACTGGAATTGGTACTGCTTTTGGTTGAAATAATTGATAACTTGGTGTTGGTGATGGAAGATAAATTGGTACAGGTAATGTAACTAAAGGTACATCTGGAATCATATGTTCCATTTCTATATAAGATAAATAATAATTTTCCTGTATCAATAATTAAAAATAAAAACCTGTTTGTGTTGCAATAGTAAATCTTGTTGGTTTAGCTTCAACTTCTCGTTCACATACTAATGGTTTACACATTGTCATTTTATTTCTCATTATTGATGGATTTGCCATTTGTTGTGGCATGATAAGCGGTACAAATGATTTAACATGATATAATTCATCATCTGGCCAACGTGGTTGTTTTTTATTTGAAATTGTTGCTGCACGCATTTCAGCTACTGTACGTGGTTTTCTTCCTGGACCGGCTAATGTTGTTGGAGAAGTTGTCGATGATGATTGAGATTGTTGAGGTGGACGTGGATAATCCATTAAACGATAAGGTATATCATCTTCATCATCTTCAGCTTTATTCAATGGCATTGATGATGGTGTAGGAGGAATTTGATTTCCATGTTCATCACGATCCAATAATGGAAATGTTACAAAATCAGCATCTTGTTTTGGTTTTGGTACACGTGTTGAACGACGTGTTGGACCTAAATTATCATTACTACTTATGGAATATGATGGTGGAGATGAATCACGATCAGAATCAATTTCATCACCGGATGAAGGACGTCGAGTACGATTTCTAGATGAAAATAAACAAGTTTCAGTTAAAATATTTTTTAATAATATTTACTGGAACCAAGAAAGTGGTCGTCGCTGAGAAGATTGTTGATGATGTTCCATCGCATTTAATGGTGTTATTCGTCGTTGCTGTTGTTGTCCTATTGATGAGGACGTTACTGGTAGATGTTGTTGTTGTTGTTTATTGGACATTAATCCAATACGATTATGATAGAGTCCTTGTCCAATAGTTGTTGGCATTGATGATGTTGGTCGTCCAAAAAA